TCAAAAAGAAACAAAACAAAACAAGCTTAAATCATAAGTTATGGAAAAATAATGTTACAAAGAAAACCTTGTACCAAATGTGGCAAAGCATCAACATTGGGACAGAGGTCAGTGACAGGACACGGGTCACCAGTCCAAGTAATAAAAGATACGTGAAAATGGAAAGCTGACGAGCTGGGAAACAAAGTCAGGAAACTACAGACGGGTCATGTGAAACACAACAGGTAAGCACAAGAATGTTTGCAAACGACAGATTCAAAAACACCACCACCCCAGACAGAGACTGACGACCATTCTTTGAAAGCTCACAGTGCTGAAGACGTAACTCAGCCATTACAAGCCAGGGTCACACCAAAAGGACAAAAAGTTTACAAATATTTTCACTATTGTTGCTTTAAAAATAAAAGCAATCATTAACATTTATTTAGTAAATCGAATCCCACAAAACTAAAATATGCATATAGAAATAAATAAAGCATAATCAAGGACTATTTTGGTAGAAAACAATCCACAAGAAAGACAGACTATAGTCACTAATATTTAAGTAATCCTAAATAAACAATAAAGGTAACAGTCTGCAATATTGAAGTAATATTCCTTGAAAGTATAATTTACTCCAGAACAAAAAGTTTAATATTGGAAAATCCAATAATGAACTTCAATATTTAATAATAGAAAATAAATAAATGAATTTAGAAACAAATTTTATAACTCCCTAAGATAGAAAAGGGTATAATTTGATGGAAAGAATAGTTTAAAATAATGTAAGCACTGCCCTTAATAATGATGTCTATGATCATTACTATGATGCAGCAGGCAAAGACGGAGGACAAACATCCTGAAACTGATTCGGGAAGGTGGGGGCTGGAGAGTAAGGAACAGGGCACGGCACTGGAAAACAGGCTGCTGCTTCATGCGTGAATATAATCTTGACTACAGCCTCGTGACTCACTGTTGGTACGGGTTAGTTTGCTTGTTTCTGTGCTTGCCTGTTCTGTGAAAAACAAGGCAGGGCGCAGGCTGGTCTCAAACTGGTTATCCTCCTGCCTCAGCCTCCAAATGCTGAGATTACAAGCATGCTCCATCACATCTGGCCTAACACACAACTGTACTGGTAGGCATCTGCCCAGCGAAAGAAGATATCTGTCCACACACTGCCTACATGAGTTTTCACAACAGCAGCCTCCACACAGGGAGGACTTGGGAATAATCGAAGACCCATCAATTTCATTGACTCATAAAACTAAACTCACCATATCACCAAAGCAAAATAGAAATCCATAGAGTTATCCAAACTGATACGAGGGGGAGCATTTGAGACAAGAAAAATGTCTTCCTAAAACAAATATTTAGCTAAATAAGAATAAGAGGAATTTCCTCAAAATGATCAAGTCAGCTAAATTCTCTGTCATGGGAAAAGACTGGTTTCCTGCTGAAATCTAGAGCAAGACAAGTACACACATCTTCACACTCGCTACATCTTTCCAGCACAGTTTGACAGACTAAAGCTACGGCACTGGAAACAAGAAAAATAAGGAAAAGGAATCCATCCAAACTCCAAAGGAAGAACTACAACCTATTACTTCTGTTTAAAGATATTCTGACGGAATATGCTAAAGAAACAGGAACTACGAAAGGATACAGATACAAACTCAATTATAAGTATATACAACGGTAAAAGAAAGGATTCACAATCAGGGCGTCTAGGGCTGTGATAAACACCAGGACCTGAAGCAGCCCGGGGAGGACAGGGTTTATTCTGCCTATACCTTCACAGGCAGCCCACTCTGGAAGAAGTCAGGGCAGGCTTTCAGCACAGCAGGAAGCTGCTGGAGGTCAAGGAGGGCACTACTGACTTCGTGGCTCCAGAGGCTTGCTCAGCCTGCTTTCTTAGGGAACCTAGGACTGGCTCCTCCAAGGAACCGGATCCTGCCCTAGAGAGCACTAACTAAGGAAATGCCCTGAGGCTCCACTGCAGCCCAAACCAAAGGAGGCATTTTCTCTGTTGAGGCTCCTCCCTGTCAGTTGGCTCTAGCCTGTGTCACATTGACTTAAAACTAGTCAGCACAGGGATAAATCTGAGGAAAAAAGAAAGGAAGGGAGAGAGGGAGAGAGGGAGGGAGGGAGGGAGAGAGGGAGGGAGGGAGGAAAGGAGGGGAGGAGGAAAGAAGGAAGGAAGGAAAATAGGAAGGAAGGAAGGAAGAAATGAAGGAAGAAATGAAGGAAGAAATGAAGGAAGAAATGAAGGAAGAAATGAAGGAAGGACAAGAAAGGCATATTCAATTCAAACCATAAAATATGTCTAAGATAAATGAAAGAAAATTTAAGCAAGAAAAAGATAGGTATTTTCAGAAGTAAAAAGACATACTATAGTTAAAATGCAGATTCTCCCCAATCCACCTATAAACTCAGGAAAATCCCAAAGAACTGTTCTTATACCGGAATCTCAGAATACCGAATTTGTAAGTAGAAGTCCATTTAAATTCAAAACTGCCTTCATCTGGCTTGAACATGCTGAATTTGTCTTTTCTGGTCTGGATTACCTCACTTGGGATGATTGTTTCAAATCTATGCATTTACCTGAAACTTTTATTATTCTTAACAGCCGAATGGCATCCCGCTAGGTAAAGGTACCACATGTTCATTATCCGCTCATCAGGGGATGGACATGCAGGCTGCTTCCGGTGGCTGTTAGGAACAGTGCGCAGTGAACACGGGTAGCAAATGCCCCTGCAGTAAGGTCGAGAGTCTTTGGGGTATGATTTCCACAGTGGCTGATTTCCATCGTTTGCGGGCTCCTATAGGCCCCTACCCATCCGCAAGAGCAAGTGTTGCCATTAATTTTATAATCTCAGCCATTCTAACTGGTGATGAGACAAAATCTCAAAGTTGTTTTAAAATTCCAGCACTGAGAAAACGAAGTGGACACAAAGTCCCACCCCTAACCAAGGAGCTACTTGTGATTGACACCTGCCAGGCAAGGAAAACCCGCTTTCTCCAGGGGAGCTCTGGGTATATCAACCACACTCCTGGAGCCTGCTCTGGAGTAGCTGAAGACACAAAATAAATGCCTCATTTTGGGTTTTGTTTAGGGCTGTTTGTTTTCTTTTAGATGTTTTTTCTTTGTCTTCTTGCCTTTGTTGTTTGTTTTGATCTTTGGTTTACTTTGGTATTTTCTTTTCTTTTTTTTTTTTTTTTGAGAGATAGAAAGGGAACTACCATGAAGTTGGGTAGGTAGTCAGGTGGGGAGGACACAGGAGGAGTTGGGGACAGGAAAAATATAATCAAAATATACTGTATGATAGGCAGGTGGTGGTGGTGTACACCTCTAATCCCAATCCTACAGAGAAATATAAGACAGGATGAGACATGTCTCAGATGAAGTCTCGATTCTGAGATTCCTGGAGGCAAGACTGTCATTTCAGACTGAGGTAGAGGTAAGAGCCAGGGGCTGGCTGTTTTGTTTTTCTGACCTTCAGATTGAACCCAATTTCTGTCTCTAGGTTTTTATTAATCGTGCTATAGTCTGCTGCACAGAGAAACTCTGTGTCGAAAAAAACAACATGAATAAAAATAAAATATTGTATGAAAAAATTGATTTACAAAAACAATTACCTTTCGAGAAAACTACTTTAGAGGAGTAAAAAGTAGACAGATGCAGAGATGATGGCACGTGGTTTTAAAGGATTTAGACAAATCATGAACTAATGAAGAAAGGTGGTCAACTAAACATTGCTACAGGACATCTATCTAGAATAAGGGACCTATGAAAAGGAACACCATTGTCCTGGGTTCTTGATTTGTTTGCTGGCTGGTTTGTTTTGGTAAACTGGACACAGGCTAAAGGGAAGAGGAAACCTTGACTGAGGAAATACCTCCCTTAGATTAGCTCTGTGGAGTCTGTAAGGCAGATGATTGATGTAAGAGTGCCCGCCCACTGCGGGCACTGCCACCCGGCAGCACTGATCCTGGCTTGTGTAAGAAAGCAGGCTGAGCCAGCACTGTACAGAGCTAGCAGTAAGCAGCATCCTTCACGGGCTCTCCAGCAGTTCCTGCCTCCAGGGCCCTGAGCTCCTGCCCTGACTCCCCTCAGGGACTGATGGGACCTGAGAGCTGGAAGCTGAAATAAACCCTTTCCTCCCCGGGTTGCTTTTGGTCATGGTGTTTAACACAGCCATAGAAAACTAAGACAACCATAAAAATGAATCACTAAGAAAAAAGCTTAAACACTTCAACAAGTAATATCACATTTAGATGCTAAAAGATTGTTGATATTAGTAGTTGATAAAAAATAACAATTAGATTTATTACATAACTATTAGAAAAGCTAGAAATAAAAAAGGCTAACTATAAGATCATGTTGAGAAACACGGAGGAACTGTAAATCTTATACACTGATAGTGAGAACCTGACGGTACGACTATTTTGAAAATAATTCAGCTGATTCTGTAAAGTTAAACAATCAAATGAAAGTAACACCCAACAGAAAATCAGTGTAGATCTGGAGAAAAATCAAAACTGTTCCTTGTAAACAGTCTATCATAAGATTTATATTTGCGAATTTTAAAAATATGTTAAAATTATAAAAGTTTATTTGAACCCTACCTATTGTTCATGTTCAGGACACAAGCAATTTTAATTTACTTATATTTATTTTACTATTCAGAGTAAGAAAAATACACCAAAAACAATGAAGAGAATATTGCAAATACACATTACCTTTCTTATCAACAGATTATAGAATTATAAAGTTTAAGGAATACAAAGGATATAAATACTGTTATAATTATCTCAAAAAAATTTAAAGTAAGAAAAATAAGATAAAATATATGGACCAGAAAATTGTAATGAAACCATACATATTCATTTACCTGAAGCTAACAACATAATAAAATATGTAGACCAGAGTAACTTAAATAGTAATGAAACCATAGCTATTCATTAACTTCAAGCTAACAATATAAATCAATTACTATACAGAAAAACATACGAATACTTACAATAACATGTTCCTCTGAGTGGATTACCAACATAGCGATTTTCAGAGTCGCATCTGTAAAAACATAAAAAAGTCATTTACGACTAAATAAACTAAAAATGTTTAAACTGTATCATAAGTTGAATTTTTAAAAACCAACTTCCAAAATAGCAGAAGGCAGCAATCCTAAGACTAAATGAGCACGAGCAAATAGAAATGTCTGTGGCGATTCAATGCAGTGCCCAGCAGAATCCCAGAATTCTTCAGAGACTGCCAAAGAACGGCACTCAACTTCATATGAAAGTGGCTGAGTGTTGTTACTGTGACCAAACATGACCAAAAAGCAACTTAGGGAAGAAAGGGTTTATATGCTTACACTTCCAAATCCCTATTCATCATGGAAGGAAGTCAGGACAGGAACTCAAACAGATCCCAAACCTGGAGGCAGGAGCTGATGCAGAGGCCATGGAGGGTGCTGCTAATTAGCTTGCTCCCCAGCCTGCTCCTTTATAGAACCCGGGACCTCCATCAGAGCATCCCCACCCACAATGCACTGGGCCCTCCCACATCCATTACTGGTGTTCACCCAGGCCCTGAGATCCTGAAAGGTGTTATGGCATCCAACAAAAGCCAGCCATGTTTACAAATCTTACAATTGCTAGACTTCTCACTTTAACATGTTAGCATTACATAGAAACATGGCTGCTTCTCCCCAAGCTAGAGGACCACGGCTATGATGCTCAGGGCTCACTGTAGCAGAAAATAAAAGACAAATCCCCTCTTTAGGGACTGTAACATGGCACTGTGGGTAAAAGCACTTGCTTGGCAAGCCTGCTGACCTCAGTTCAATTCTCAGAGCCCACAGTGGAAGGAGAGTAATGATTCCCAGAATCTCCTCACCCTGGCTGAGGGCTAACTACCCGTTTTGGCATTAACAATCTTACATCACCTGCTGCACTAGGAAGAAATGACTAGCTTTACAATCAAGAAAATCACCTTATACTTGATAACTAAACATATGTGCCTATCAATATACACATAGACATATAATTTAAAACTTAGGCACCACACATAAGAGAGTCCAAGGAGATTTTGTCTGTTTGAGTTTGGCTTCTTTTCTTTTTTAATTTTTTTTTATTGATTTTATTGAGCTCTACATTTTTCTCTGCTCCCCTCCCTTATTCCTCCCGTCTACCCTCTCCCATGGTCCCCATGTTCCCAATCTACTCAGGAGATCTTGTCTTCCTCTACTTCCCATGTAGATTAGATCTAGGTATGCCCCTCTTAGGGTCCTCATTGTTGTCTAGGCTCTCTGGGGTTGTAAATTGGTTTTCTTTGCTTTATGTCTAAAAGAGTCTGGCTTATTTCACTGAGCATAGTGATTTCTAGTTGCATCTATTTTCCTTAAAATGTCAGGATTCAATTTTTCTTTATGGCTGCACAAAACTCCATTGTGTATGTGTGTCATATTTGTTTTATCCATCCATCTGGGCTGTCCCATTTCCTAGATACAGTGAACAGTGAACATCGATGTGGCAGGATGGGTAATGTAGTCCTTTAGGCACCCACCCATAAACAGAACAGCTGGGTTATATGATGGCTCTAATGGTAGTTTTATGAGGAACTTCCTCACCAATTTCCTTCCTGGCTACACAAGCTTACACTCCCGTCAGCAGCAAATAGGGCTCCTTTTTCTCCATATCCTTGCCAGCCAGCATCTGCCTTCGTAAGTTTCTCGGATGACAGCTCCCTTGACTGGAGTGAGCTGGACTCTTACATTTTCCTGATGGCTAAGCAGGCCAATGCTTTGTGAAGTGTTTATTGGCCGTCTGTGCCTCTTGCATGGAAAAAGTCTGTTGGGTTCAGTAGTGGCTTTTGTTTTAAAGTTACCATTTTTCAGTACCCATTATCCTGGGAAAAGGTTAGATGGAGAATTGTCATTACCATGACAATATGACTACTTTGCATCCATTTAAACAGATTGCTTTATGTTTTGTTAATTTAAGAAAAACTGGCAAGAAACAAGCCAAGCTAAGGCCAGGCATTCATAACTAAGAATAACCCTCTTTGTGTGATTTACTTGGAAGGTGGGTGGCGGGCCCCCCAAAAAAACAAGAATAAAAAATCACACAACAGAAACCAAAATTGCTGCTGCATGTTTGTCTGCATCACTTGCATTTTCTTTCTTCCTTTCTTTCTTTCTTTCTTTTTCCTTCGGTCATTATTTTACCTATGCCTTGAGTTTCAGTTATCTCAAGGATTTGTATTTTACAAAGTCTGATTTTTTTTTTTAATCAACAAACAAGGTGAGGGTCACGGATTTCTGTTTTAACAAGGCTTTTCTTTCTTTAGTCAATTACAAGGGGTAGGACAATACTCTCTCCATCTCTCTCCATCCATGAGAAGACACTGGAAATGCTAAGACCACGTTCATTTTTATATCTTTGTTGTTCTTGGCGGTACTTCCGTTTCTGTCCGCTGTCATCTTTATCCAGAAAAATGTTATTCCTCCTTCCAATTCCAACTCTAGCACAGTGGGTTCAGACCTTCCTCATCCTCATGAACCCCGTCTCAGAACAATTAGTACACCTACTGAGCATTTTGATGTTGATGCAGTGGGTCCTGGAAGCTGTTCATTCAAAGAGTATAGACAAACAGATGGCCCCATGGCCAACGCAACCAACGACTGGGAAACAAGAAGACCCAAGATCCACTGGGAAATTTACAAAAATGTGACATTGGATGACATATTTAAAGAAAAATGGAATTTATGCTTGCAAGAAATGATTCATGGTTATTCTAGATCATCAAACATAAGAAATCTGTGTGTTTTACTGCGACGAGTTTGACACTAACAGCATGAAAAGTACTTTAGCAAAAACTTTATCAGTTTTGCTAATCAATATCAAACACTAGTTTAACCAGTGTTTGCCTATTTAGACAATTTTCTGCTTCCTAATAAAAGCATTCTCCAATATAACCAGTATATAACAAGTAATTGTCCTCAAAATGATAACCTTATTTTTATTACCCCCATCCAACAGTTAAAAGTGTACTAAATGACCATTTGAAATTCCTCTATTGAGAATTCTGCTTTGATATTTACCCCATTTTTAACTGGATTATTTATTTTTTTGAAAACTAGTTTCTTGAGTTCATTATATATTTTGGATGTTAGTCTTCTATTGAATGTGGAGTTAAAAATCTTTTATCAAACTATAGACTACCACTTTGCCTGACTGACAGTGTCCTTTGCCATGTGGAAGCTTTTCAGTTTCATGAGACCCTACTTATTAATTCTTAATCTTAGTATCTGCACTATCAGTGTTCAGTTCAGGAAGTTGCCTCCTGTGCCGATGAGTTCAAGGCTATTCCCCTCTTCCTCTTCTATTGTGTTCAGTGTGTCTGCTTTTATGTTGAGGTCTTTGGTATACCTGAACTTCAGTTGTGCAAGATGACAGATGTGTATCTGTTTGCATTCTTCTACACATCAGCATCGTTATGCCAGCAATATTTGTTGAAGATAATTTCTCCAGTGTGTTTTTCTGGATTCTTGATCAAAAATCAATTGTCCATTGTCGTGTGGATTTATGTTGGGATCTTCAATTTGATTCCACTGATCAATGTGTGTTTTTATGGCAATACTATGTTGATTTTATTACTATAGCTCTGTAGTAGAGCTTGAAGTCAGGGATGGTGACGACTCTAGAAGTTCCTGTACTGTACAGGACTGTTTTAGTTATCCTGAGATTTTTTTTTTTTATGGCATTGAGAATTGTCCTTTCAATGCCTGTAAAGAATTGTGTTGGAATTTTGATGGGGCTTGCATTGACTCTGTAGATTGTTTTTGGTAGAATGGCCAATTTTACTATGTCAATCTTATCAATCCATGAACACGGAAGACCTTTCATTTTCTGATATCTTCTTCAATTTCTTTCTCCAAAGACTTTAAGTTTTTAATCACACAAGCCTTCTAGCAGCCTGTTTACAAGATTTTATAATATGTGAGGCTATTGTGAATGTGTTGTTTCCCTGACTTATAAGATCATTTGTCATTTGTATATAGGAGGGCTACTGTTTTTTTTTTTGAGTTGGGAAATGAAAATCAAAATGACTTTGAGATTCCATCTTACACTTGTCAGAATGGCTAAGATCAATAACACAAATAACAGTTCATACTGGCGAGGATGTAAAGCAAGGAAAATCTTCCTCCATTGCTGGTGGAAGTGCAAACTTGTTCAGTCACTACGGAAATCGATGTGAATTTAGTTCATAATCATAGTTGCAACTAACATTTGCTTTTGCCTATAATACTATAACCTGGATCTATAGATGTTGTCTTCACGGCTGTAATGAGATAATGAAGCTTATGACCTGGTATATAATTTGAAGGAATGGATGAGAATACCACAAAGTGTAAATAAATTGGGGTTTCTCTTTACAAAATCTAAAGATCACAGCCTGAACCTCTTCTAGGCATGGGCCTGAGCACATTCACTACCCTCAAGACAGTAAAGCTGGGTCTATATATAAAGCAAACATTACTGGTGCACACTATCAGAGACATCCTGTCTCACACAGGGCGCAAGCCTCTGGCTCAGTTCATTGCTCACAAGCCTAAGTGGCCTGCCTAGTAGGAGCTGACAAGACCTATCAGGCTTACAGATAAGAGACCAGCTGGCTATCCTAGGCTTCTCTAAACTTGAAAGTCTATGATAGTAAATGACATCAAATAAAAATAAGCAAATATTGTTTTCTGTGTTTAGGAGATTCTTTAGATATAAATTTTAAATATAATTTAGAGAACTCTTTACTAAATTTTCTGACAATTACATAATTATGTAATGTAAACATGATTTTTCTCAAATAAATATTCATGAAAAATAAGCATGTATTTGTAACGAGTTAATATGGAACCTTACAAATCTGATTTTAATGTAATGTACACGAACAAAATTAAAGAAAAAATAATAATTTAAATGTATTGCCTTTTAGAATCACATTTGGGAGGAATAAATATTAAGAATAACTAGACAAACGATAAAAGAAGTCACTCATGAAGTACTGAGAGAAAGACACTAGTTCTTGTGAACTGAACTCTAGAGAAAGGAAGGCTGATGGGTTAAGTCACTCAGCAGTTACCTGAGTGTGCACCCCACCCACATACACGACAGGTGTGGTGCCGTGTTCTCTCTGCATTCGCTCTATAGCCTTCGCTCTAAACCTCCAGGAAACTGTCCTCTTTAAACATTTATTTTCTCAAAAAATTTGATAATGTGTGTATGGAAACAGCTTACAATAATGTAAGCTTAACTAGTGCAAAGCTAACATTCAAAAAAAACATAAAAATTAGTCGGATAGCACAAAATCCATAGAAGTTCCAAGATATAATTCTTCGTACTTACAGTTGGCACTGGTCACCTTTTATTCCTTTAGTTGTACAGAAACATTTCCCTGTGTGCAGATGACAGATATTCGCATGGCCACTGCATGTGCAAGCTGTAAGTCAGAAACCAACGTGTTATTAAGTGTTATTAGTATGGTATTTTGTGAGGCTATTTCCTCATGTCATTTAAGCTATTTTTTTCACTTAATGTGAAAACTTTGCAAAACTCATTATAATCCCCAGGAATGTCCTGCATCTGTCTTACACCTAAGTACTTCTCTTATTCTCCTTTGTGCTTCTGTTTGCGAACTGATACATCAGATTCATGACGTTAGTGTTCAAAAAGATTGCAGGTGTAGTGGTGCACACCTCCAATCCCTCGTGTGGGAGGTGAACACACACAGTGCACCCCTCCAATCCTCTCATGTGAGGTGAACACACAGTGCACACCTCCAACCCCTCATGTGAGGTGAACACACAGTGCACACCTCCAACCCCTCATGTGTGAGGTGAACACACAGTGCACACCTCCAACCCTCATGTGAGGTGAACACACAGCGCACACCTCCAACCCTCATATGAGGTGAACACACAGCGCACACCTCTAATCCCCTCCAGATTATTCTCAGAATTATTACTTCAGAATACTAAATCAAACATTGCACTGCACAATGACATGATTAGTTTAGTTGTAGAAACAAAAACCTCAATTTTCTCTTCACTATTTTCTAACAGAGCTGCCTAAACAAGACCTAAGCAACAATGAAGACACCAAGAGATGAGCTAACATAAAACAAGAAACATTCATGGGACCAAAACAAACAGGCAACTAGGAAATATTGGAAGTGGGAGAAAGAGGCTTCCCCAGGAAAACACCCCCCCCCAGTTGTTTATTTATAGCAAAGTGGTCGGTCCTAAAAATCACTACTGAAGCTGCAAAATAAATTCGGACCAACCCAGATGCTCAGGAGCTGAGACAGCCAGACAGGCGCAGGGAAGGAACGGCTGGAGCCTGCACACCAGCCGCGGAGAGCACTCAAATGAGTACAAGGCCTAGATTTAGGGTTTGAGATCCCGAAACCAGAAGGTAAGTATTTCTGTATTTCTGTATTTCTGTATTTCTGTGTTTCTGTATTTCCGTATTTCTGTATTATTTCTGGCATAGTTTGGGCAATTATTTTGACACCGCTGTGATTTAAATAAGAAATGTCCCCATGGGCTCATGAATTTGAACACTTTTCTCCCGCTGAGAAGACAGTTTAGAAGGTTATGGAACTTTTAGGAGGTAGACAGAAGGCAGGATTTCAGAGATTACAATCCTTGACGCAACTGCTGTTCTCTGTGTGTGTGTGTGTGAGTGTGTATACGCGTACGCATGTTTCTGTCTGTCTCTCTCTGTCTCCCCACTTCTCATGCGTAGATAAAAATGTCATCACCCAGTGTCTTTAGTTAAGAGGCAAACAACGGCCAGAACGCACGAGAACCCAGAGAACTTTGATGGATGACTACTGGAAACACAACTGTGTCCCGCTGCGTTTCTGGAGCGAATCAAAACAGTCAATGGAGAATGAGCAGATGACAGAGCCAACCCAGTGCTAGCAAGGTAAAAAATGAAAAATAAAATAAAAAATAAAATATAAGTATGTGCTTATAACATACTTCACAACTAAGAAACTGGAAGATAGCTCAAATGTCCATTAACTAATAATTATTTTGACATGATATATCAAAGTAATATTATTTGACAATAAAAGTTAACACTTCTCATATATGATTAAACTTGAACCTAATGAGTCTTTAAAACATCTTATTACGAGAAAATTTCAAGAATAATTCAACCTATACTGATGATGAATTTCTAATTGCTGTGGAAGCCGGGGAGAAGGGGGAGCAGGACGGTGAGGGGAGGCTGCTAACCAGATAGGGTACTTTGCCTGTTTTCTAGTTATGATTTTGTTCTTTTGTTTCTGTAGAACGAGTGATGAAAATTCTGACAAATAAGACGGTAATCATGAGGGCCCATTTCTGTTAATACTAAAACTCACTGGGTTGTGTTTGGGAAGACGGCAACTTCCGCTGTATCTTTGTTATATCTTACTAAGGCTGTCTTAAAACTTTTGGTTTTGACCACATTATAAAATATAAAACATTTTATGACTTTGGAAAACAGATTATTAATATACTAGTCAACATATACTTGCTAGGTATAGATATGCAGTAAGTTTTGTATTAGAATAGTCCCAAACATCTGGTATTTACTAAAAGAGATTCACTAATACATTTTATATATAAAGTCATACAAAAATTTGTATAGTTCCCTCAATTTTGTATAATTTAGTATGTAAATATAGTATTTCAGAAATCTGCAAATGAAAGATAAGATGTGAAACAAAGAATAAAGAATATCATTAACGAATAAAGAAACAACAAGATATATGGTTAATATGTAAGTGTTGGAAAAATGAATAAACATTCTTAACATAATCTGAACAATTAAGATAAATATTGAGGCATATTTCAATGAATACTAAAATTAATGTATATTAATATTATAACGCTTGGATTTTATTTATCCTTCCTGGAAAAGCATTATATTTTTTCTTATAACAGAACTTTTGCAGATTTTCTGTTTTTAAAAAAACTATCTTTGAATAGTTACTTTAATAATTTCTGGGAAAACATATTAAAATACCTTTTATGTGAGCTCATTTTGCAAGCATTCCCCTGTGTATTAGGCTTCAGAGTAAAGCAGCACAAATGCACCTAATGCAATTGTTTAAATTTATACTTCACGGCAGTTTCTAGACTATTCTGTGTTGTCAGCATTCAAGACCACTGTTTTCTGCTGAATAAGCACCTATGAAACCATCATGCTGTGGCCTTTGGTTTGGGAAATTTTATTTGGCAATGATTTTATAGCCTAGATACCCACCAGAGGGACATGACATAGTCACATGTATTTCTGTCCCCATGAATATAAAGCTGCAGTAGCAACTTATAGCAAAACTAAACAATGAGGATAAAAAAGGAGGTAGAAGAGTTACTCAGCCGAGCTACAGACGAAGAGCACACTGCAGAAACACAGACCCAGCAGTCATTTCCCACAGAACAACAGCTTCTGGAGGTTTGGAGACCATACCATCGAATCTTGTTTACGTTCGTCTGTGCTAATTATCCTAGTGAAATGTCATATATATATATATTACCGATTAGACATTTAATATGGTAAAATTTTACATAAGGTAACAGTATAAACAACCACATAATTCAAAGTTCTGTCATTCGCACTCGCAATAGGCTCTTCCAGTTTGTCAGTCTTGCTAGCCCTGAGAAGCCAGATGAAGAAAACGCCCAAACCTCAGTTTAATCTGAGTGAGAGTAAGAGTAAGTGGGTAAGGACACACATCTGGCTGATGGTGTGTGGGTAAGGGCGTACATCTGGCTGCCATTCTGTGGGTAGGAGTGTGCATCTGGCTGCTGGTCTGTGGGTAAGGGCGCACATCTGCTGTGATAGTGTGTGGGTAAGGGCGCAGTCTGGCTGATAGTATGTGGGTAAGGGCGCAGTCTGGCTGATGGTGTGTGGGTAAAGGTGCACATTTGGCCAATGCTGTGTGGGTAGGAGCGCACATCTGGCTGCTGATGTGTGGGTAGGAGCGCACATCTGGCTGCTGGTGTGTGGGTAGGAGCGCACATCTGGCTGCTGGTGTGTGGGTAGGAGTGCACATCTGGCTGTCGGTCTGTGGGTAGGAGCGCACATCTGGCTGCTGGTGTGTGGGTAGGAGCGCACATCTGGCTGCTGGTGTGTGGGTAGGAGTACACATCTGGCTGCTGGTGTGTGGGTAGGAGTGCACATCTGGCTGCTGGTGTGTGGGTAGGAGCGCACATCTGGCTGCCAGTCTGTGGGTAGAAGTGCACATCAGGCTGCTTATGAATTCACTAAAAGGCATGCACACCCATTCCTCCAGACACAATTCTGCAGAGAACTGGCTGTGGACACTTGAATAACCCTGTGATTGGAAACCTGGGCATGCTCAGACAGGAACTAGACAGTACAATCTACCCATCCAAGCACACAAACATTACTGGCTGATTTTTTTTTCTTTCATGTTGCCAAATTCTTCAAACTGGCAATTTTCTTGTCTGACTTGCTCAGCATTCCCTGTGTTGCTGATTTTCCCTGTAATGCACTGGAATGAAATTATTTACTTATTCATATCCTCTTTCAGGTCATCGATTTTTACCAAAAAAACAAAATAAAATAAAGTCTTTATACATACTCTTTATCTGCAAAATAGTTACAATTGTAATAATTGTGTACGTTATAAATACAATTTAATAGACATTCAGTAAAAGCTATTAGCAATATTATTGGCATAAAAAATGACCAACAATATGAAATAAACTTGAGGATGATGCAGGAGGCTTGACCTATGATAAACATGTGAACTACAGAGGATATAAAATGTGTCTGACGCATGGAAACGTGGATTTGAAAGTAAAAGTCTGGTTGGAATCACAGCACTTGGTTTAGCACTTTAAAGAACATATATCAGAATGGAACCAATGCATGCCCAGTTTCTTATGTTAACTTCCAGTCTCCTGGAATATTTAAATAAATATTTTCAATTTGGGAATAGTATTTCCATATAAGACTTAAAATATATCTTTTAAGTTTCACCAAAGGATTGATATTTTAACCTAATAGAAATGTAAGTACGTATGTGAACACACATGCATGTGTGTGTATCTGTGTGTCTATGTAGATGGGCAGACAGGAGTGTCTGTGTGTAGATGAGAGGACAGGAGTGTGTGTGTGTGTGTGTAGATGAGGGGACAGGAGTGTGTGTGTGTGTGTGTGTAGATGAGAGGACAGGAGTGTGTGTGTGTGTGTGTATAGATGAGAGGACAGGAGTGTGTGTGCGTGTGTGTGTGTGTGTGTAGATGAGAGGACAGGAGTGTGTGTGTGTGCGTGTGTGTGTGTAGATGAGAGGACAGGATAATCTCAGGTGTTGTTCTTCAGGCACCAAATACCTTTGAGATTTTCATATTCTTCAATGACCTGCACCTCTCTAGGTAGGTGAGGGTGGCTGGGCAGTGAGACCGAGGGACCTGC